TGTGTGTGTGTGTGTGGTGCATCTTAGGGCATTGTGGGACACAGATCTCCTGTAAATGTAACATATCAAAGCAAAGCTGTATTATTTTTATCACATTTCATCTCTCAGATATTGAGTTTCATCCCCTGCTTCATCTGTCACATTTGGGCTGGGAACGGACGGGTGTATAAATCTTATAACTTCCTCCCCCTCTTGTGGGCACACACTGTGTCAGAGGGAGGGAGGCCCATCACTGAGCCCACTGAGGAACCCCCCCAGATGTGCGATCCTTTTGATGAAAAACAAAGAGCTGAAGGTGCAGTGGGAGCCTTCAGCAGCAGCAGCAGCAACTATAGTTTCCTGTGAAAGGTAAGAGAGGTAAGTTTCAGTACTGTACAGTTGCCCCAAAATAGATAGGATTGTGTTCGATGGAAAAGTTTCTGTGTTTGGCTCCTACATTCAGACTCAAAAGTCAATAACACACTTTTGATTGTCACATTACTCTTAATGGCTTCACAAAATCACCACACCTAAATTATGAAAATGAAAGAAATGGACCAATTAATGTTGATCTCTTTGTAGAATTTAACAGCACTGACTTTGTGAAGTCTGGCTAGCTCCCAGAGTCATGAAACAAAGTCTACATGAGGAAAACAATACCAGCTTTCCATTACAACAAATGCATATTACATTTCAGGAGGAAACAGAATACAGTAATATACTCTTTTGGACTAAATGTCAGAAATCTAATCTGCAAACCAGAGTAGCAACACTGGTTGTTTGGGTTTGTTCTCAGGCCTAGATGATAAGGGACAGTTCATCTCAAAATCAAAAAGTACATATTGTTTCTCTTCCCTGTGGTGTTATGTATCCATATAGATTGTTTTGGTGTGACTTGCTGAGTTTTTGTAGTTATCAACCATAGAGATGTCTGCCTTCTCTCCAATACAATGGAACCAGATGGAACAAAAATGTATTTTAAAAAACTCAACAGCAATGTCTCTTTCCAGAAATCATGACCTGGTTACTCGATATAATCCACAGACCTCGTTGTGAGCAGTTTAATGTAGGAACTATTTTTTAAATGGTGCTTTGAGCACCACAAGCCAAGTGCCATCTGGTTCCATTATATTGGAGAGAAGGCAGATATCTCCAGAACTCAGCAACTCACAAAAAAATGTAGATGGATACATACAGGTAAGGTACATATATAGAACTGTTCCTTTAAGTTTACAACCAATAGAAAACATACATGCATACACACGTACAGTCAATCTTTTAATGAATTCTGGGGGAATAGAATCAGAAACCAGAGTCAATGTTGTCTACGTCTTTGGAAAGACTTTCACCTTGACAGAAGCACTTGTCGTCCTGATTATGTTTTTTTTTTAATTAGGTGGGTATGCTCACTCCCCTCAGACGGCTCAGGCCAGACCAGACAGCGAGGGTGGTCAAGCTGCAGTCTGACTTTTCTGTTGTCACGCAGCCGCACTTTGTCTCCATAAAGAAAAGGAAGTCTTAGATAAGAGCTGTGGCTCCCTCTGCTGATCTCAGAGAACCACCTAATTAAAAGACTGCTGAATGAGCCTTCACATTGGCCTGGAAGACAGCAGACAGAGACTATCTCATTTAAAGATGTGGTGCTATCATTCTAAAAATAGATACTCACTTCTCCTGGTGCACACATAGCCACAGTTTTCAGATGGCCTTATGTACCCACTACAGGGGTACAAAGGATGCTTCACTGAGTCACATGGAGACAAATGGGCGAGCCTCAGGGCACATCCTTCCTCATGCATCACAACCTGGAAATGAGATGTTAGACTTGTGGATATAAATGTGCTAACCCTAACTCACCTGAAGAAGATTCTGTGATCATATGCGTTAACACTATATATTTCCTGCTGTCATGTCTGACTTTCTTCAGATTGTGCTGCAAGTGAAACCTTTTTGTGCAAAATAACACAGTTCAGTGTCATTCTAACATCAAAATACATAGCACAGATTAAAGAGTCAATGTACAGGAATTCATATAGGCATAAAGAGCCCTTCATGGTGCCCGTCCAGTGGACTTAGTGTAGTATAATTCCTTCTAGGGTGCCTATCCTAACCCAAGCAACCAAAAATGCATCACAACATTTGGCACACTGGTGCCATTTTATTATTATTTTTCCCCTGCACCACTACATGTAGATGACTCTGAGCTTGCATCATTACACAGTGACGATGGTGCAGGATTTGACATCATACAGCAAGCGCTAAGAAACATCTTTTTATATAACATTCTGTAAAAGTAGAAAAGTTTCTATATATGCACCAAAAGTCAACTGCAAATCAAATTCGGCCCCCGGGTGTTGGGCCCTTGTGCACAGATAGTGCATTGACCTATCTGCTACAGCACTGCAGAGCCGGGCTATTACCTGATTCTGCTGCCAGACAGCCAGGTGGATGCTGAGGCCCAATTTGCCTCTGGCGTCATACGGCCCTGGCAGCGGACCCATAAATCCATTAGGCCTTTTGTCTGCTTTTGTCTCAGGAATTGAACACCTCAGTGGGGGCTTCAACCAGTGTTTAGAGGCCTTAGCACTCAGAATTCTCTGAAGCATTGTAGTTCCTCACATCATAGAAATCACAGTTCACTGCCTTTAGTAATGTCAGCCACCAAATAACAGTGGAGTCAAGTCAGGTCAAGCTTTACTTGAGAGTTACATTTCATACATATGGATGCTCCATGTGCGTCTCTGTGCATCCCATAACAATAAAACACACATTGGCACATGCACTCAAGCATGCACACACACACAAACACTGATTGAATGCTGGAGTGTTGGAAGGTGGGTGGTAGATGGGGAGCATATGTATTATTCTTTCAACTGTCTGTCATGCTAAATGTTCATTCATTGTGTGCCGAGTGTGCCTGTTTGGCAACACACAGAGAAGCCCTCAGGCAAAGTAAACAGGCGGGATACTGTAGTTGCAGGACAAAAACAGCAGCTTCATCTCTTCATTATCTAAAATAAGTGCAGCCCACACCAGTCTTCACTGTCATGCAATGTTCAGCTGTTCCACGTGTGCACCTGTTTCCGTTCACAGCACGCATCTGCACATGTGTTTGTTGCGTTTACCAGCGTTACTAAAACGCTGCAGCTAGCGAGGGGGTTTAAATAAAAGTCTGAGACATAACACAATCTGATTTAAATTACATGATGAGGCCAGTGGGGATCTCCCGTAAAGACTCAGCCTGTCTACTCCTATTGCTTATGTAGCATTCAACTCCGGATGAACCCTAGAGTTCAACGCGTCAAGCTGTCACACACAACTAATGCAGAGACAATGCACACACACACACACACACACACACACACACCAAGACACCGGCATCTGGATTTAATGATTGCACTTTAAAGGTTCTGTGTGGGATGAGAAAAATAGAGGCAAGCAGATATGTAAAATACCACAACAACCCAATCTTAAGCATTGTCAGGGACTAACAGTCTACTGTATGCAATAGCACAAAGCAGTCAGGGGATGGCAATATTGTATTCCTTTTTGCAGATTTGATTGTTTTTAACTTTTGATCGCCCAGCAGCAACTCTCCACATTTGACGAGGAGGTGTGAGACATTTTGGGTAAAGATTGAGGAGAATCAGAGGTGAAAAGGGCATGAGGAGATTTAAAGCCCCCTTTTACAATAAATTCAAACACTACAGCTACAAAGCACCAGCAGCTCAGACAGAAAAATAGATCACAATAACCTTATGCAAGACATAACCTTGGAAATTCTACATATGGCTGCAAAGTATTTCTCCAGTAGCTGCTTTTCTGAATGAGCTCAGTCATTGTGTTTCAATCGTTCAGCTGTGTGAGGAAGAAAATAAAACTCACAGGTTTCTACTTCATTGTAACTTCACTTTAGTATTATGTGGCAAAAAGGGCAGCAATTCAAAAATATTATTATCTGAAGGCATCATTTTTTTTTTTATATTCTGTTTTTGATTATAGTTTTGGCCAGTAAACAGCCTCTCACAGGGCTGATTTGTAGTTGCCATATGTTCAATAGTTTGTCCTTTGCAACATAATAAGATTCAATAATAGCTTTTCAATCAGACTAGGTTGTGTTGGTACTAATTCACCACAGGCTGTGTTTTAAAGCAGCCACACTACAATGGATTGAACAAAATGGACATTGTCACAGTGAAACAACAAAAGCGTTGGCTGAACATTATTGACAGCACCATTTGGCTGACCGGTGGCAGCAGAAAAAAGAAAAACACATGATGGGCAAACAAAAGGCTAAGTGGGCTACCAGATCTTAGCCAGCAGCTGTAAATGACTGTACTGTGCGGGGAAGGAGGGTGTAATATACCAGCCGTGTTGGAGTGACATTTAAATTGAAGCCAATTGCCTCACTGATGGACAACACAATTGCTTCGCCCTTCTATATGCTTTTCTAAACAATGAATTGTGTTGCTTGTATGAGATAGTCCGCACAGGGAATTCAAATATAGCCTTATGTGATGCATAAATGTAATTATATTAGCTCTAGTCCACTGGTTCACCGTGGGTCGCCATAGCTTCACAGGGGGTTGTGAGGCCCTCTTAAGAAGTTGTCATTTTTATTGTTTAGCTTATTATTTAAGATGAAGACCTGAACACAAGTTATATCCACAGAGCCTTCACTCTCTGATACAAAGCCTTGTCCTGCTTGAGAAATGTTAAAACAACCAAAGGGCTAACAGAACATTGAGAAGAAAACACTGAATTTGTCCAACAAGAAGCTTATTAAGAATGTATGATTGTTAAAAATGATACAAAGAATTCCTAAAACTTGTCTAATGTAATCCTGCAGTTATTGTGTTCACTGTTTGAGTTCATTGTACAGATTATCAGCTGTTCTGTTATTGTTATGCATTCAATATAATCAGGGGTGGATGTAGAGGAGGGGGCACTGGGTGGCTGCCACCTCTAAAAATGCCTACCCCCCACCAGTTTGGTGTCAAATTTAACGCATTCATTTAGGTTAATTTAAGAAATAACAGGTTAAAAAAACAGAAATTAATTTAATAATCTGTTGTGGCCACAGTTTAGATCAATGAAAAAAGACACGTATGCACAAATGTCTATGTTTTATTTGGAAATATTATTAATTTCTATGTGTATCTTCCATGGAGTTCGCCATGTTGAACTGAACTGTGTTTCTACAGTAGTCCAGAACGGACAAACCAAACACTGACTCTAGATAAGGCCATTCACGTGTTATACACAATATACAGCCACCGTAGTTTCTTCTTTACGCTGTGAAGAGGAGGGTGAAGCGAGGGGGGTTGCAATCTGCCGCTTCACCACTAGATGCCACTAAATCCTCCACACACCGGTCCTTTAAAATCCGAGTCCGAGCGAGCGCAGCGCTGTGGAGTTTGCAATTCAATCTCATTTTAAATTAAAAACAATAACCTGGTGATCATTTATTTATGGCACATAAGTGATTTATAAGTCTATTAATTATTCCCCTCCAGATTGTCTGAAACTGTTCTGAAATTGAGACATCATCAGGAGTCCTTGAAGCAAAACGAGGGATAGTTCAGACGCATTCCAAGTTCCCTGAATTCAATCCGAGTTCATTTGAGGATTTATGAGGAATTGTTACAGTTATGGACAGACTGGTGTCTGCGGGAGGAAGGGGCTCTCTCTCGGGGAAGGCTCCTGGAGACAGAGGCTTGATGTAGTGCGGTGGTTTGTGGGGGTTGAGGCTCATGGTTCACGCCTCTCCCTCCTCTCCCCTCCCCGTTTACAAGTCATGATGGCGGAACTGTAAACTTCGGGACGAGAGTCCAGCGCCCCGTCCTCGCTCAGAAATTGTACATAGTTATTATTTATTTATTCCGCCGACTCTATACACTCCCCCCCCCTCCCTCCCCCAGCTATGACCCGTTGGATTCCCACTAAGAAGGAGAAGTACGGAGTGGGTGAGTAAATGTGTCTGCGTGTTGTTTTGCTGGCCGAGGGAACTCCAGCAACCTGAAGGGAAACAGGGCTGGAGCTGGGAACAAGTTACCGCCGACTCCTGTTGCTGTTGACTGCGTCGGGTGTAAACACTGTCCACACTGTACACCCAGCTGGGCTACACGAACTTTAATGTGTTGCACTGAGCTCGATATTCAGCCTCCTCGCTGTCTGCAGATGTGTGTGTGTGTGTGTGTGTAAGGGTCCCATTCTAGGTGGTGAGGAAAAATGGAAAAGAGCCAAGTGTTCAATGAGCATACCAGTCGTTCCTGTGCGTGATCTCCCTGAACTGACTTGTTGGAGTTACAGTGAACTTCAGTGAATCCTCATTTTGCTCGAAGGTCCCTTGAAGCCCCCCCCCTTCAAGGGCTCCTGTAGGGCCCCACATGGGACCCCTGTACTGTATGCACGTCAGATAAGAGTGGAATTTCATAGGCAGTTTGTCTGCGGCTCGGCTTCGCTTACAGGGCTTTTATCTGACGTTTGAGGCTATCAGGCACTTTTAGTTTTGGGTATTGTTTTTGAATTTGCAGCAAGGTGTGGCCCCGTCACATATGTGTGTGTGTGTGTGTATTGGTCCATTCATCAGGACAAGGAAATTGAGTGCTTGTTATTAGTCATTTATCTTTCTAAAATTTGGATGCTAATAACTATTATGAAATTTTCACCTGAAATTATTTAAGTGTGTGCACTTCCTTTACTTTACAGTTGCCCTCATGTGTCTGTCTATATGCTATCCTCCTCTCTCGTAGCATATCTGCATTTCAGGAGCCAGCCAGAGAAAATGTTTTAAGACACAACCAAGGAAAATGCATAAAATGCAATACAAAATGTAATGGTAATGAACGAAGTAAGTTTTAACAGGTTAAATGTCCTGTGCCTTGAACTCCTGTTTTGAGTTTAACCACTTTTTAAAACAAAAATGGTTTATTTAAAACAGGTTGACATCTATCTTGAAGCATTATACTGTGGTACACCAAGTTCACACACCTTCAAAACAAAGACAATTGTGATAATGGTGAATTCATTGCACTTATTCCTTATTACTGGACGCCTTACAACAGTTAGAACAACGCATTTGACTTTGAATGGATTTGTGCTTGTATTGCCAAGTTTGTCTCCAATCATTTTGTTTTATTCCCCAAATTTGCAACATCATTTCAACCATCTGGGTTTGAAACACAAGATCTGACATCCAAGGGTTAAAATTTCTTAAAAACTGCATGTAGAAAATGGAGTTTTGTTAACCAATAGGGAAAAGGTGTATTAGATACCTATTATCATTGCATTTTTTTCATGTGGTCTGTCCTCTTATTCCAACCTACCTAGGTGGAAGAAGCATAGGGAGCGGCACCATAGGAATGAGGAACTCACCTTGAACGTACTCAAGGGTGAGCAGCCTTGCACAAGTCACTGTCTCCTTCCTTAAGCTAATTGAATCACTGGAAAACACTACTATAAATACACTTATGTTCTTTTTATTGTTCCTACTAAAATACTTTACCACCAAATCAAGCTTTTTTTTTTTTTTTATTCAGAAGGAAGTGTGATTTTTATTTTTTTTCTCCCAGCTATGAAAAACACAATTCACTAAAGTTGACTGGAAGACTCATTGGAAATATTAAAATTGGTACCAGCATTTTCTGAGTTTAAACACATGAGCAGTGCATATTTCCTTGCACAGATCACTGCATATTTTGTCCCCTTCAGCCAAATGAAAAGTCATGCCCAATTTTAAACCAAAATCTTTTCTTAAGACTGGATTAAACAGCCACCAAGCAGACAGCCAAGGATTGGTAAGCGCAGTAAAATTCTCAAAACCCCTTTGCAAACACCCTGCTTGCGTGTCTTGGCTTACTGCCACCAAAAATACCTCAGGGCTTGTCATGCACCACATTCTGGTTGAATAACGTGGTGTGGTGGATATTCCCTCTACGCCTACAGTACCCAGTTCCAACCACAGACTTTCATTGTTTTTATGGAACTGCATTTATTCCATTTCTGAACTGAGAGGCTGTAATTAAGTAGTAATATTCGACTACGGAGCTTTTTTTTCAACTGTATCAATAGCAGTTGAGATACTCTGTTAAATGTTGGTAAAAGTTGTGCTGATGTTGGAAGCAGCGCCGTGCTCTCGCGGGATGGGTGTGGTTGGTGTGGTGTCAGTACGTCCTCTGGGTTTCTCGAGTGCGGTGTGGTGCTCCTCCTGACCCGCACCCCCAGTAGCTTGGTCTGCCGTGGGTCCGCCGTGAGTTTGTGGGATGCCCGCAGAGTGGTGCTGGGTACAGTTTTATGCGTGCCTTGGGGTTACTCACCTGTGCTCGCCACGTGCAGGAGCCTGGATTTTACCGGCCTCGCCCGGATCCCCCGAGATAAGAGTCCGCGCGCGCCTCTACGCTCTCAGGATTTGTTGCTCGCAGACCTTTACGACACAGTTTGATTCTGGGTTGTGGCAGTTGGGCTGTAGTGGATGTGAGAGATATCGTGACTTCTTCTGGTCCTTGGGTGGTACTCGTGTCCTTCGATTCAGGATTGGTGGCTGTTCGGTTCTCGCGCGGTAGGGTATGGTTGCCCTGGTGTGGCAGCAGCAGTCACTAATTTATTATACGCTGGTGGTGGCCGGCGCCCCGTCCTCCCCTTGAGTCCTATTGGACCAACCTGACGCTTGGCGTACCCGGAGTGGTTGGGGCCTGGAGGATAGACGGCGGGCTGGATCGCGCGCGTCGGGGCAGATAGTTGGTTCAGTTTATCTGAAAATTTGTAGGGGGCATTGCTCAGAAGAGTAGAGTCGTCCAGATGGTCGCTCTGTTTGCGCTAGCATGTGTGGGTTGTACTGCTCGTGGCTGTGCTTGTTTATATTGGTGAACAATGGTTGGGATTGGGTCCCTGAGGTTGGCGTGTCTGGGTTGCGCGTAGCCTGGACTCTGTGCCGTACGATGGGGGTTAACGGGTTCCCTGCTTACGCTTGTTTTTTCAGAATTTTAACTGGGCGTAGCTGCGACTTATGATGGCAATTGTAACACACATACATGTGTGATAGGGTTATTGTTCGTTATCGTAGATAATGAGGTGTGCAGGTCCGCTCGGCGGGTTATCGCAAGATGGCCGGAGTCTGTCTCTCTGGGTGGCGGGTCGGTCTCTGAGTGGTTGGTTGCGGTGTTGATATCATGTCTCTTTGATGCCGAAGATTTGTTTAACGGGGGCCGCGTTATCTTTCCTGGTGGTGGCCCTTTTTTTTATTTGTTTTCTAGCACCTGCCGTCGATTTCTCTGAGGGTAGGACTGTTGCCTGCCGCACGAACAGACAGTCCAGCGCAGGGAATGACCGTACGGGCGGTACTGGACTACCCACTTTAGGGTCCAGACTCATGGGACCCACCAGCTTACGCCGCTGGTGCTTACCCAGTTTTGGCATAATTCCTGGCACAAACGATTCAGAATAATGGCACAGAGCTATAACACACAAAATCTAAAAGTGGTCTTTGCAGCAGTACAAGTGTACAAATCACCCGTGGGCATCTATTTAATCTAACCAACCATGCAACAAAGAAATGTGATCTTATTGTTATACCGACTGTGTGCATATATAGCTACGCTGATGGAAGGGGTGGGTCAAGTTTCCACCTTCTGTGATAAGGATAATCATAGAGGTTTGTGTACGTCGTTTTATAATGAGAAACTTTGCCCAAAATATTTGACATTAAGTCCCAAAATTTAATGAGAGTTCTCAATAATTTTGACTAAGGTATCGCAAAAATTCATGACTGTTGTGATACGTAACTGAGACGCATTCTCAAATCTTAAGTCGTTATTTTGTGGAAAGGTTTCTTCATTATTAAAGAGAAGGATTGTTGGGGTTTGTCAAAAGGTGGGGAAATGGGGCGCGTCCGTAGATATTAGAACATTTGCTCGCAGCTCTGGAAAAAAATAAGTACTCGATGCTGAAAAAACATTACCGCAGGTCAGTTCCACCTTTTCACAAAGCGGCTGTGCCCCAGCTGTTATATAACCAGGAATCCAAACGTTTTAGGTTTCCAAAAATCAACACACAGCAGCCCCAAAAACGGCGGATTGAGAATAAGGTAACAAACACTTCCAGGACAACCACCGATCTTTTATTTACAGGTACTTTGGTCATTTAATCCATTTCCAGGTGTTCCTTACAGGAAAGATAGTACACACTGTTCACTTTCCTAAAGACACGTCTGCTGCACCACCAGGAAACAGTTTGTAAAGAGGTGGTGGCGGCTTTAAAGCCCAGAATTGAGCGGTGAGTCAGGACTGTAAGCACTGACCGGCCAACCTGCGCTGGACAATAAAGTCATTTACATAAAACCTGGACAGGGAAATTCCCCATGGAGCCTTCTCTGATTTGCCTGAGGGTGTGGAGAGTACCTGATAGCCAGGAACATGTAGTTGCAAGCTCACACACACACACACACCACACACA